CTTCAAGGAAACATCTGTTTATTTCCAGCAGCTTCAGTAACGCTAGCTCCCTGCTGAGGACTTCACTGCTGATCTGATTCCCACGCTCTCCTAACCAGGAACCCAGGGATGCTGAATGTGCCTTTCGTGGTCCCTGCTAAATGTTGGCTGACAGAAAATCCCCCAGGTTTGCAGAACTGTAGTATCTTTAACTGCAAGCAAGATGAGACACCTGTGATGCCTAGGGTGGCCTGTGACAAGGTGGTGCACTTATGCAGGGTGCAGAATGCAGAATGCACCTCCAATGAGACAACAACCCTCCACAGCATGCAGCTAGTGAAGCAGTTGCCATAACTCCACTCCATGATGGCCCATGAAGGTCAAATGCTGTTCATAATGTGCTAAGGGAATGAAGATATACAATTGTAAGAAGAAAATCAAGAACAACCTCTGAGGTTCGAAGGTTAATTTCATGGCATTGATCTGAACATCTTTTTGTGGGTCATTCTGCTCTGTATTAGCAAATGTAGCTTCACAGCTTGGAGGTGAGGGCTTTTTTTTCTTTCTTTTTTTTTCTTTTTCTTTTCTTCTTTGCTTTTACAGTGGAGGAAACTGTGACTGAGATAGATCAAACAGTGTAACCATGGTCATTGAGGAAGTCTAAGGCACTACCGGTATGTGGACAGAAGATTAATTCATAGAATGTTTTGGAGAAAGACTAGGTGTTTGAAGCAATAGCTGCATATTTCTTGAGATAGAACACTGAATATCAAAAAAAAAAAATCAGAGATAACACTTGCTTCTCACAGCAGAAGCTGATTTCTGACCCTTTAGGATTAAGAGGGGACTTTCACATATGCTGCTAATACAGGATATCACATGCTTCCTGCTAAATCTGTTTCTAGACTGCAAAAACAGGACATTGGAGCCCAGGTCTAGCCTGCCTACTCCTCGTTGAATCTCAGGACCCCACCTCTGTCCAAGCCTCACGCACAAACCAAAAGTGAAACAAGGGAAAATCCCCAAGGGAAAATTTAACCCAACTTCCAGACTGTCTGCAGATCAACAGAACAAAGAAGATGCAGTTACATAGTTATTAAGCACTAGGGTTAATGACTATATAAAAGAGATGGCCTCAATCCTTTGCCTTTTCTGTCCTCACTGGGTTGCGTGCTCAAAAGACAGACAAGCTCATATGGTGAGAAACTGAAAATGATGCCCACTTCTGCTGATACAGTCTCCTTAAAAAACAAACAAACAAACAAACAAAAAACCTCTATTTGCATTAGCTCCCCTTGCTACACACTGTCAGGGAATAAATATTTCCTCTGGAAAATATTCTCCCCAAAACTTTCTCCAAAATTTTGCAAGTTTCTGCTGGGAACAGAACAAATGTTTCCTCAAAAGTGCCAACGAGCACCTCTACTTGCCTCCCTAAAAAAGTAGTATTTCCTCATGGAGAACAAGAGAAGAAAACTCATTAATCAGTGTTTTGGAAAGCTATTTGCGTGCCTGTTTCTTTGTAATGATGTACAGTCACAGGAGTCACCTTTACCACAGCCCAGACTAGAAATAAGGGTAACAATGTGGCCAAATCTTTACTCTTGAAATACTCAGCTCACTTCTACAGCCCTCTTGAATCTGGCAGGAGTTATTTTCTCCCATCATTTCCAGGAAACTCCATAGAAACATGGGCACAGCTGAACTCAGGAAAGGTTTTCCAAGCAGTGTCAGTAATAAGTCTGACACTCTCCTTTTGCGGATCTCACCTTTGTTGGTTTCGCTCTCTCTAACAAGAAAAGAGCCGACTTGGTTGCCAGGAGCCAAAAGCAGCCGTTCAGCGTCTTTTCTGCTCAGAGTTTTAAAATACCACCTGGGAGATGGAAAATGTAGAATCGTCATTGAACAGGAAAAAAGAAAAAGCTCTGAAAAAAAGTAAATTCTTTCCAGTTAGTTCTTTTTCTTTTACCATCATACCCTAAAATTGAGGGTTATTTTTATCAGCAAATAGTTTTATTTGCTGGAAAGGGCCAGTAATTGACTCTTTGCAGTAGACTTTAGCTGCTTTAGGGTTGCTCCACAACCTAGACAGTAGACTGTCTGCACAGTACCCTTGCATGAGGGAAGTGTAAGCGTGGACCCCAAAGCACACAAGGACCCCCAGCTCCTCTGGTGAGAGACCAAGCCTTGAGCCCAACCCAGGCAGGATGTGTACAAAATAAATATATAACGTAGAGGCAGAGGATGGCGTGTCCACAGCCACAAAAACGTACCCTCTGCCTGCAAAGAGCATTGATGCCCCAACTACATTTCTGTGCACTCAATTCACTGATGATGAGGTCCTTTAAAGAGGAAATTGAAAGCAAGACAGATCCTTTATCTGTCAGCCTCAGCACCATAGAAGGGGCCTGATACTGTTAATTTGCCAGTGTAATTACAACACATGTTCCTTTCACCCAGACACTTTTTTTTTTTTTCTTAATGGTTGATGAAGTCAGTGGGACATGAATCTTTGGCCACTTTCCCAATAGCAATCCAATACTTCCTGCTCTGCATCCTCACTGCACTTAAAACTTCTCCTAAACTTTTGGGCAGTGTCATCATGGATGATGAAAGGTCCCTCGCCTTCCAGCATAGAAGAGACTACTTCATGCTGGCAAGGGAAGTTTTTCCTGTTGAGACGGGTCTCTTTCAGAAGGGAAAACCTGGTATCAATCAATGCTCACCATTTGCAAGCTTACACACTTACTTTTCCTCTTCCAAGCTGTCTGCCTGTGCAACGAAGTTACTGGGGATGTAGCCTTTCTTTCCGCTGCTGAGGGATTTTGCCAGCCACCAGTCTCCCTCACTGAAAACCAAGGAGAAGGGAAAGTGTGAGAAGATTTCATGACAGGTCAAGATCAAGGCTACAGAGACGGCAGGTTTCTGGGCTTCTAAGAGCAAAGCGAGCGGGCCAGTTCTCATTGAGGAAGATCATTGTGATTTATGAGTGTTTTCCCTATGGATCTACTCTGCAGGCCCCTTTCAGTTTTCTAGGACCACTACTATGTTGAAGACTGCTGAGAAAAACAACAGATAATCTTTCAGTTACTTCTGTTGTCTTTCCTTCAGTGCACAGGAATTGAATATGAACCCAAACTAAGGTACCTCTATTAAGTGCAGCAAGTAAGTAGGAAAACTGGGCTCCTGCAGATTTATTTTGTCTCTTGCACAAGGACATGAGGGCTCCTCCTTTCTGTTCCTCCCTCTACTTGCTGGATATATCACTGCTTTGCTCTCCTGTAAATGACCCAGTCTTGCCATTGGCTGAAATTAGAAGCTATTCTCACCCGATGGATTCTCTGGCTTCTCTACCCTAGCTGAGTGGTCTCAGCCCACTGTGTCTGGCTGCCAAATGTCACCTCAGAAGCTCACAGCAGTCAAGGATGGAGTGGCCCTTCTGAGCAGGCTGCTCCAGGGCAAAGGGACCATCAATGGCCACCTCCACCTAATTATGGACGAGGCAAATGGACTGCCAGCCTCTCCTCTCATAAGTCTTAGAAGAAGAAAATGAAATGAAACCATGTACCTCTCTGGCTAGACTCTGTCCTTTCCTCTGACTACGCCCAACCCACATCCTTTGCAAAAGCACGATCAGCACAAAATATGAAACATCAGATTGTTGTTATTTACGCTACTTCTGCACCCACACGCCCTGGCAGACCTGGGCTCTGGTGAAGAAGGTCCCAGTGGTGCTCAGGCAGGGACACTGCCTGATCCCAAAGTGTCTATAACCCAAGGAAAGCAGTAGTGTGTCACTTTCTCCATCTTGGAGAAAGAGAGCAGAGTGGCCAGAGTCACTCTTGACATCTAGAACAGAGCTGAGAAATAGGCATGACTCTGGTGAGGTGCTCATTAGTGTCCAGCTCCAAGGTCCCCCCCCGCTTTCTGGCCTGACCATGCATGTCTTTGAGCTCCTTCTATCAACAAGTTACTTACTTAGAGAGGACTTGGAGTCTGTCCCCCTTGATCAGCTCCAGGTCACGGTCACTTGAGGAAGCAAAGTCATACAGTGCAACCACGGTGAAGTCACCTAAAAGAAGAAGCAACGCAATTGAATTCAGTCATGGATGCACAGTCAGGTGTACATCATGGTGCTTCAATCCCAGCCTGCACAGGGCATTTGATTGTTCCTCAGTTCCTCCAAATCCAAGCTTTCCACCAACCCCATTTTCCAACCTCTTCTTGGAGGACAAGCAGTGATTCACCAAACTGTCAAAGCACTCCAGACCTCCATTTCCACAAGAGCTACTGAGTCAATAGTGAAAAAAATACAGAAATAAAAACAAAAAGGTTTGTGTGGAATTAGAAAAGTCATAAATAAACTGTCAGTTTTGGCGTCAATTTTACATGGTGGTAAACAAAAATGGCTGTGGCAATATTTCCTAAGGTGGCTCTGGGATTTCTCTCAGAAAGATGAGGGCTTTTTTTTTTCTGATTGAAAAAGGCAGAGTCATCTATGTTCCTGCTACGTGAGTCCACTGCTAGGATCTAACACGTGCTCCAGATGCTCCTGACTTCCCCTTTACGCACCGTGCCTTGCAGACCCACCTGCGAGACACCACATTCAAATCTCAAAGCCATTCTCCACCCAGCATCAATAATGCCCTGTCGTTTCCTCAGTTCACGCTATTAAAATCTTACCGGAACTGTCCTTCCCTTCCTCTAACCTTGATATTTTGACCTTAATATATTGACTTCGATATATAGAACATGATATATTGAACATGATATATTGAACATGATATATTGACCTTGATAAATTTTGAATTACATTGACCTTGATAAATTTTACATTTCTCTCCAGACCACAGAACTGATTCTCAGTGCCTTCCTGTTGCCCATTTCACTTGCAACCCAATTAGGTTGCAAGTGGCTCTGAGAGCCTGTCCACTACCCTAACATCTCACTTTTATTCCAGACGTATTGGCCCAGCCTCTGTTTTGTCATGGAAAAAATAGTCTTCCAGGCGCATGCAAGCAGAGCTGCTGCTGGTATTTGTGCTGTAGCACCAGGCTGATGCAGATATCTACAAGCAGAGGCTCAGGGGAGCTGAGTCGCGGTGTTTGCATGTCCGGGTTGTGCCGGTGCCGCTCTGCGAGAGGCTGTGCAACCGTTCACATGTGCTCTGCGTGCTCATGGCTACTGAAGCAGAAATTGGGAGCTATTTTAGGGCAGATCAAAACTTATGAAGAAGATCAGCACGCAAGAAAAAAAAGAAACACCAAACCAAAAGACAGCACCAAAAAAAAAAAAAAAGAACATTGGCTGTGGACATGTTTTAGCTTGTACACAGCCTTATTAATGCAGCAAGAGGGATGGACGGTCTAAATATAGTTTTCAAAACAGACTGTCAAGCCACTGTCTCTGTGTGACCTTTTCAAACAACTCCCCGAGCGAGGGAGCCAGACTGGCCCTTTGTCATCACGAGATAACGGGTCTCGGGGGCAAGTCGGGTTTTGTGTGCGCAGGGCCCGGCTGCTGCTCGGCCTGGAGATTTATTAGCGAGGTCGGATGAGAAAGGCCAGGGTGGGAGGGGAGAAGAGAAGGGAGCTGCAGCTTTGCAAACCGAAGATGAGAGCAGTTCCCTGTGGGTCTGTGGGGAGGAACTGGGAGATCAATGAGAGGTTTCAGCAGAGCATCAACCGCTCCTGCGTGTGGGGTCAGGCTCTAGGGAGGATGCTTGGAAGTGTTAAAAGAGCTTGTGCAGGTGGAGCGTTCCCTTTTTTTCAACCTGGATGTGAGCAACTCTGAAAGGAGAGAAGGCCACAATCATCCAGCAACTCCCTCCCTCCTTGGCCTTGGCCTTCAGCCTCTTTATCAGGTTAATGGATTCCTTTTCCCTAAGATTAGTTATTTCTGCCAACAGAAATATTTTCAGGTCGCAGATTGCGGACCCTAATAGATCTGCAGTGCATGCAATGGCGCAGTCATGTCAGGCATGTTTCAGCAGGTAGATGTCCAAAACCTTCTCTCACAGAGCTACTGCGACATGAAAGGTGCCTGCTGCAAGATCTCCATGTGGAAGGTCCTACCCTTTCTGGAGGTAAAATAATGCAGTGGTCACACTTCAGCTTTGAAAAATAGAAGACAGTGTATAAGCATTTCCAAGCACAGCGTGAGTATGTATCCAAAAATAAATAAATAAATAAAAATAAAGTTTTGAACTTGAAGCATTTGAAAAAGTTCAAATAAAAAAAAAACACAAACAAAAGGACTGAGAGAGAAAAGAGGAAAGGCAAAGAACAAATAAAGCAAGGCAGTAGGGTTTCAAATGCTGAAGAATTTTATGTCCCTCTTATCCATTTCCCAGCATACGTATCGAGAAATACTGCACACTTAAGTGAGCCAGAAGAAAAGCTCTCTCTGCTTAAGCCAGCAAGACTTGCTGTCTCATGATGAAAGTGACTCTTCCCGTCTCTTAGTCTGCCACCCCACTGGAAAAAACTAAAAAACATGCTGGTAATACTTTTTTTGGCCCATTTGATCAAGTTAGATCATGAGTAATTCTGTACAGCACAGCGTAGTCGCTGGAGCTGCTAAGAGTGGCTGCTTTGCAGATAGTGCTAACAGCCCAAAGGCTTTGATGGTGAGCCAAATACGCCTTGGCTCCGCGGTGCTGTCAGGAAAGTCAGATATCAGCTCAGTTTGCATAGGCTGAGTGCCAGTTTGATGGCTTAATAGCAATGAGTCAAAGAAAGAGCCTTCCCACCATGAATGGGAGGCCTTTGCAGCTCCCTGTGGCTATGGAGCTGCGCTGGGGTTGTGCCAAGGTCCCTCAGAGGAGCACAAGCTGTTTTTGAGCATTGGTAGGATGTGCATGGGGTAAGTGACAGCTCCCCAGAGTGCCTGTTGGCCACCTGGGTGCTTTGAGCTATCAGATACCGTTGCTGAAAAGAGGGCTGGCTTTGCTAGGAAATTCAAACATTTTGGGTGATTCTCTCTCATCTTCCTTCCTCCTCTTTCTTTTCATCAGCAACATCTATTTTGGATGGGAATTTTTCATTTTTTCTTTGAAAAGCTAGTGTTTTCAGTGGAAACAACTCTTCGTTTTTTTTTTTGCAACTAAGCTCATAGCCATGCTTCCTACAGTGCTCCTCTCAAACTCCAATCTGTATGCAGGGAAAGATTGTAAAGACAACTAATAGAAAAAATGACTATATCAATTAATGTTAATCTCAAGAAGCCTCAGAAGACCTTAGTTTCCAGAACACACTTAGCTCTCATCCTCTGAAAATCACCCCTATCCAGTAAAAAACAAGCAGAGCAGTTGAAGCTAGTTCCTTGGTCAGAAGAAATGTCCCCTCTCCTCACAACATGACTCTCCAGGTTTTTATAATTAATTTCTGAGAATCAGTAGCCAGAAGATCACCTTGCATTGCTGAGAGAGGATCCAGCACTGACCTTAAAAATATCAGCAGTGCTAAACCCTGAGGTAAAGAAAACACAAGACTCACACAAGAGAAAAATCCATCTTAAGCGTGATGCATATTGGAAGCAATGCAAACACCATGGTCTTATCCAGATTTACAAACTTTGTGTTATTTCATGCTGCTTGTGGAGGCCAAGTAAAGACAAGAGTATTTTGGCTTATGTTAATAATAGGTAAACAATTTCTGAGACATTGAGGAAAACCTGAAGAAGTGAAACAAATTGGCAGTATGGAGATCAGAAGGAAAAAAAAATACATCAAAACGGAAGGGATGCAAATAGTGCAAAAAAGTAATTTTTTTGGTTTTTGTTTTAATTTTACAGTAAATCTCATACTTCCATAGTCAGTAATTTTGGAATGACTGAACTTGTCAGTGCTCCACAGGATATAATTCAGGTCTTCGTTTTTTTTTTTTTAATGTGATTGAGGTCTGTGATTCTTAATGTGATCAAATTGTCTGGATTCTGTGCTTCCTCTACCAATTTGCTTCCATTGCCTTCTTTCACCAGAATAAACACAGACCTCAAATGTCTCACACGGTTCCCCTCAGCCCACTTTGACACAGAACACAGAGGCAAATCGAGCCATTTCTGGAAATCCAAGCACTACTAGAGAAAAAATAAGAACTTCTCCAGACTGTCGCTGTGAGTCCAAAATTGAAACTGAACCCTACAGACCAAAACATTTTTGATAACTGAGTATGGCTAACATGACTTTTTTTTTTTTCTTTTTTTAGTGTCTTTCCACTTCTGCCTTCTGACACGAAGCAGAAGTAAAAGCTGCCTCTCTGGAGATAGTTTTTGTTGTGGTTCTAGCCAGGCTGAGAACACTGATAAAACCCCCCCAGAAAAAATGTCCTAGTGATGTCTGTGCAGTTTTGGAAACACGTGCTGCTTGGAAACATGCCCTGAAAACGAATTTCCAGAAGAAAATTTGGTTTCTGGAAAATTAGCATGGCTGTGGAAATGCAATCCAGTTTGCAAGGCTGAAGAGTTACATTTCCCATGACACCTGTGTCAAAACAGGAGAAAGATGCAATAAAATTGAGCTGGATCAAAACAAAGCATTTTAATGTTCCCATAAGTATCTTCATAAAAAAAAAAAAAACTTTTGAAGAGCATTTTGTCATTCCAATAATTCCTCTGGATGACACATGAGATTCTCAATCATCATTCCCAAGATCATGAAAATGCAGAGTCGCGGTTCCACCTCTCCCATTTATTTGCCATTTCACCTTTTCCTTTACTCATAGACCCAAGATTTTTCCACTTCATCCCACTTTACATCCTTCTTCCTTTATTATTAGAAGGAATAAAATGGCCCAGCATGGAGCTGTGGCTCCTGAAAAAAAAAAAGCACATTTTCTAAACAACCCCTCAGTCTTTTTTGTTTTTTTTTTCTTTCTCCCTTCTGCCCTGTTTTTCTCCAGAATGTCTCTTCCATCATAGTCCCCCTTACTTCTCCAGTCTTGGCACAGCCCTCTGCTTCCTTTATCCTACCTGTCCTTCCTTTTGGAGGCTCCCATTTCCTTTTTGCCATCTGCTTTCTTCCATGCATGCTCTATTTTCCTGTCAGCCTTGCTCAAATTCTCTCTCTCTCTCCTTTTTTTTTTTTTTTTTTCAGTCTGTAAAATGTATTTGCAACAAATACAAATTGCTGTGGGAAAGCTGGGCAGACGTAGAAGAGAGTTTTCTGCTAAAAAGCGATCATATACCAGGAGCCACCAGGCAATTCTGCAATCTGCAAATAATTGCAGAGGCTGCTGAAGCCAGCAAACAGTCACCAAGCGGGGATTCTGGGCATCCTAATTTTATTATTTTATTCCTTCTCTCTCTCTTTTTTTTTCTTCTTTCAAACTAGGCCCTCCGATGCCTTCGATTCCCTCTGAAATTTTCAGTTGACTGGACGTAGCATCCAAGTTTTCACCATGCAGACAGGGCCACGGACAGACAAGTCTCATGCAGTTGATGCCTCGGACCTTCACTTTGCTCAATCAGTGAAGAAAGAGCATTTTTTTTTCTTTCTTCTTTTGATGAGTGTGAGAAGTCATCAGAGAAACATTTCGTGCTTTAAACTGAATCTTCCGAAACGTACTGACAAACTCCCTGCCTGGCAACTGTAAAAGTACAGAAACCGCATGCTTGCTACATGACAACTTGCTCTCTAGACCTGCTGTTGAGAGACCACCATCTTGCAAAACCCCACGGGAAGGCGAAGGAAATAGCAATTAATCTAAGAATCTTACCTTGTATAGGGGCTTGGTTTAGATGAGAGCTGTTGATATCTTGTCTGCCCTTTGATATAAACAGAAAAAGAAAAAAAAAAGCATTTATTGCCTTGCTATATTTGCAGGAGGACCTGCTTTGAGCTTTGCAAAGGACTGGGAGTATGATTTGGACTCCACTGTAGTCGGTTGACATCCCACTGTAGCTGGCAACGGCCCCTGCATCTGTCTCCTTATGCGTCCTGATGGTTTTAACACATTTTGCTGTGATGTGTTCATAGCTGGCTGGCCTGTCTGCTTGAATAATCCTTGGCTCCTTTCTGAATAAAAGCATAAATCTGCTACCCACTCATTTAGACCCCGGTCTATCTGATCCTGGCTCACTGGTGCCAGACCGCGGGTAAATGGGGGATGAGATGTGAATGGTCCCATTGAGAAATGACAACCTCGGTATTATTCTAAGCAGAACTAGTCGGGATACACTTGGCTGCAATTATCTTAAGGCTCATGGAGTATTCTTTCCTCAGGGATACGCTCAGGAAACAGAGCCTGCCACTGTGCTTTCAGATTAAATAGCAGTGAGGTACGGAAACATGCCTGCCCACCCCACCAAAATGTTCATAGAAGGGAACCAGCACCAACCCCGAACAAGCCCCTAGGCTTAGTTTGGGTGAGAGACCCTTCCTATCTGTCAACTGGGATGCAAGCATCTTGTTTTAGAGCCTGAGTGTCCAATACTATGGAAATGGCCCTGCTTTAGACCACAGTCCTGTGATCGTCCTGTAGTACCTAATGACTTGTGTGTGCTTGGCCCAGTCAGAGGTATTTATACACGTGCAAAGGGAGTGTGTAAAACCATCAACTCTGAGTTGAAAATGTCTATTGCATGCTGTCTGTACTGCCCCTTGATTCCTGCTCAGCAGCAGTGAGGGGCAGGAATGATGCTCGCTGCATTTTTTTCTAGTTTAACTGAAATAAATATGGATTTTCCCTGACATATGAGAGCTTGGAGCCTGTGGCAAAGGAAAAATGAGTATCAGAAGGTGATTGATGATGCTGTATTTACACTGAAAGCAGCTCCTCTCTGATGAGCTGGAGATAAGGAAATTTAGGAAAAGAACATCCTTTTGATCAATCTGACATTTGCTGTCATGAAGATCGGACCTTGTAACCACAAGAGAACTCAGGAGTCAAGCCAACAGGGTGAAAAAATCTCCATCTGTCATCAAAAGCAATGATGTTATGCAGTTCCTCCCCCACCCCAGAGCTCAAAATCTGAGATGGTCTCACATGGCAGTTGCACCTCAACCTCCTCTTGTGCGGGCTGCCTAATGTAGTCTCAATAAACCTTACAATATTGTTAGCAAAGAGCAAGAAGAGAGAAGGCATCTTCATCTGCTCTGGAGGGAAGAAGTGATTATCTAGGTTTATATAGGGATTTTGTCTATCCATCTTCATCTGCTCTGGAGGGAAGAAGTTTATAGGCTCCCTAGGTTTATATTGGGATTTTGTCTATCTAGGTCTCCTGAATCCTTACTTAGCATCTTAATTGTTTGACCCTCTTTCCTCAACCTGTTATCTTCCCTGATGGCAAAGTTTCGCTTGTGGTTTGCTGCTCTGAATCTTAGCTTGAATCTGGCCCATCTTTGTGCTGTTTTTCACATCACAATATATGACTGGGTTGCAGAGCTCTGAGGACAGCAGTCCTGTCTGAGAAATATGGTGCCAGCACAGAGGAGTGTCCCCACACAGAGCACTGTCCCCTGCACCTTCTCCTCCTGGCCCCTCTTCTGCCCCTCTGTCCATCCTGTGTGAATAACTGTGCTCAACACAACCAGGTTTGGGAAACCTGTTATTTTTAGCCCACTCAGACAATTTACAGCTGTAATAGGTCCCAAAAGACCAAAGAGGATCCTTTTTGCCAAAGGATAACCCAGAGTTGTTTGAAAGGTTTATCCAGTGTTAAGAAGTTTGCTGTGTGGGAAGACAAGGGTAAACATGTTTTCTGTCCTTTGAATCACATTTCCCAACTGGTCAATCAAATTTCAGGAAATAAAAGCCTACCATCAACCATAAATTCTACCAGTCTTTCCAATCAGTAATTCAGCTGCAGAGGACCCAAAAAAGAAACAAGAGACTTACCTTAAGTGCGAACGGAGGGATTTTATTCCTGTGTTTTGTGTTGGTCTCAGAAGTGTATTTCTCATTGGACGTCAGCTGATTTTTGCTCCCAAACAACCCCATCCTGAAAGGAAGGGTAGAAAGGGTAACCAACTTTTTTTTTTTTTTTTTTTGCTGCAGGGGCAAGGGGTGAGCAAAGAACAAACTGGAGGAGATTACGAGGCAAGGGCAATGGGGCGAGGCAGTGGAGTGAGTTTGAAACCATCCCATGTACAGTCATCTCGCTACCCTCTGCACCTCACAGTTACTGCTGTATTCTACAGTACTAATCACTCACACTTGGCATGTGAGGCTCAGAGAGACCCTGTAAGTCACCAGCAAGAAACGGGCACTGTATGGGGTCCTTCAGTAATATTTTGGGATGCTGACATTGAGATGAATCATACCCTCCAACTTTTACTTCTCTGTACTAATTTTAAAAGGAGGCATAAATGACTATGCTGAAGGTGTTCATTCTGCAGTGAAGAGATGCCCCAGTAGATGTTGCATGGTCTTGTTCCAGAGCTAGGTGAGAGGGATGCTGGAGATCCCAGGGAATACCACTGTGCTGAGAGAAGGAGATGCAGCAGGACTTGGCTCTTTTGGCCATTTGCAGTGCCCTAGTGCTGCTTGAGATGCCCCAAGCTCTCACAAAGTTGAGAGATGTCTTTTCTATGTCCTCGATTATGTTTCCAAATCACTTTGGGGTGTCAAAGACATCCTCAATCATCTCAAAAAGCACTAAGTACAGACCAATCAAACCCTTTCCAAGGCATGTCCTCTGTTCCACACTAGGGTTCCCACCCTTGTGCCTGATGTTTTGGATATGTTGCAGTCCAGAAGGGCAATTTCTGCTCTGTTCAATAATCATGCTGTAACAGGTCCAGGAAGCCACAATAGCCAAACTATGGCAATCTGAGCCTTTTCAGGCCCTGAAAAAGTATGTAACAGCTGAAGTCAGCATCACGGAAGTCCTACTACCAATAGTATATAAAGCATCTAACCCAATCAGCACCAAAGTCCACCTTAGCCCCACGCCCTTGGCGATCTCCTGCCTTTCCTGCACCTCTAGAGAAAGAATTTGAGGTAGAGGAGTCAACCCCTTGAAAAAAACGGGAAAACTAAGACGTAGTAGCAGGTCCACTACCTGAATGAACCACTGTTCATGCTACAAAAAGGGAAAATGCTGTAGCTGCAGTCCAAGACATCACAATGTTGTGAACCAGAAGAGCAAAACCTTGCTGAAAAGCAAAGGCATTGAAATGTCTGGACTACATGTCCAAAACCTCCCACATTCTCATTGCTGAGCAAAGACACTTCATTCTTGCAAATACCTCAAGATCTGTAATCAGCACAGGGTATCAGGAATTGGAGGTCCAGGAATCAGTATGTCTTAGCGGAGAGTAAGTTCCCACAAAAGTCCACCTAGTGCTACGTCATGAGAGTCAGAAACCAAAGAACACATCTAAAGAAACTTTCAGCAAGCCAGTTTTGCAAAAAAAGCAAATTCATCCAGCCATCAGTGGGTTTTTTTCTCTCTAACATGTCTGAAATGCTTCAAAAACTGAAATCTCTAAAATGAGAAGCTCATTTCTAATAGAGACATCTTAACATTTTAAGGTATTTTTCGAAGTGTCTTCCCTCTTTTGCTTCATTTTTATTTTTACTGATAAACTGAGCAAAGACAAAGGAATTGGTGAAATCTTTCAGAATAGCCAATGACATTTTTTATTTTTATTTTATTTTTATTTGAAAGTTTCTTTAGCATCTGATTTTCACAGACTTCTCACACCTGAGATCTCAGATGGCCCATGAATCTGTATACAGGTCTCAGCATCACTCTGGGCACTGACTCAACACAGTTGGAGAGGAAGTACTGCCTGCTAAATCAGCCACAGCATTTCCTGAGCAGGTTTATTTGAATTTGGCAATCTCTTCTCCAGGTTTTAACCAGGTTTTACTGTGCTGAGATGACCTGGTTGTCATAAAATAGAACACGATTTATTAAAGAAGTTTTTCTAACTCTTGCATTTGCAAATTTTTGGAAGAAAAATTTGTGCCAGGATTTCCGACTCTGAATGGCATTATTTACCAGGATAATAAGCATGAGTAGCTAGTGTTTCCTTTTTACCCAGGGGACTGCAAAGTATTGCTTTTAGTCAATGCAGGATGATAGAAAAGCTCTAGATACCACTTGCTACAAAACTTAAAAAGGCCCAGAGTCGATGTGTGCATTGAAAGTCAGTAACAAGTATGGTCCTTGTTCCTGTTTCACTGGAGCATCTTTGACATACTCTGCCTTCAAAGGGGACATACAGGTGTAGTAATTGCCTCTTCCCTATAGAGTTAGGAGATGCAAGGTCAGGGAGATGCTTTGGGGGGCCATCATGTCACCAGGATCACCTCAGGAGAGGATGGACAGGCTGCCTGTGGAGTGATGGATGTGTATTTGGGGTCTCAGTAGCACTAATGAGGCAGAGCAAGAAAGGATAATGTGGTGAAGAGGTGAGAATCACAGAATTGTAGAATAATTACGTTTGGAAAAGACATTCAAGTTCACTGAGTCCAACCATAAGACCCTCAACACCATACCTGTTAAACCATGTCCCTAAGCACCTAATTTACAAGTTCCTTGAAAACTACCAGGGATGGTGACTCCACCACTTCCCTGGGCGACCTGTTCCAATGCTTGACTACTCTTTCCATGCATATTTTTTCCTAATTTTTCCTAATATCTAACCTTCCCTGGAGCAATTTGAGGCCATTTCCACAGGGATGTCCTCCCCTTGGGACAAGGTGGTGAAGGGTTGAGGATGTCCTCCCCATGGGCACCCTGGCAGGGAAGCAGGGACCATGCATCTGGCTGTGGCTCTGTCTCATGTGTTTCCTTGGTGCCCAGGTGGGCATCACAACCCATTCTGCTGCACTGCCTTGGGCATCCAACCACATCAAGAAGGGGACATGTCTCTACTGCATGTCCTAACCACCAAACCAATGAAACAAAAAAAAAAGCAGTTGCGTAAATTGGAGCTTTGTCCAATTTTCTGTGAGGAGATGCAGAGATGTGAACAGCATGTCCCAGCTCGGGCAGGAAATAGGACCTGTGAAAATCTCCCATAGACGTCACCCACCGCCACCCACGTCTTCGCACAAAGATATTACCATAACTCTAGATATTTACTATGACTACAAAATCCGCAGCTCACACTCTCCAGGTCTTTTCTGTAGACTTTGCTAGCCAGCGTGACAGTCCTTCACGCCAGCAGGTGCTACACAAAATCCCAGAATAGTCCGGCCGACAACTGTCGTCAGATGCTGAGAGCTTCTGATGAGCTCCTACCGCACAGCTGGTGGCATCGGCTTTTTAAAGAAGTACTCCTTTTTCTCCAAAAGAGGTGGTGGAGATGAATAGACATTTTTCCACAGTGCTTTTGGAGTAACTAATAGTTTTCCCTGCCTCTTTTTTTTTCCCCAGTGGAAAAGAAAACTGGGAAAGAAACAACAACTGAGAAAATAATGTGGATTGCCTTGAGCATATTTACTATTTTTTCCCTTTTAAAATTGCTTGTTTATTTTTAATGACGGAAAATCAGGAAGAAAGTATTTTCTAATAATAGCTGTGAATACAGTAAGAAAATAGTATTTTCTTCATCACTTCAATTCAGTGTTTAATTAAACTCTTCAACTAGTCTTTTTTTTTAATGAATTTTCTTCTTTACCAGTTGAAAAAAGAGAAGGTAAAAAATGAAAAGTCCAAAACAAGGAAACATATAAAACAAACTCTATTTTTAAGCAAAAGGAAATCAAAATGGAAATTAAAAGTCAAAGGTGAAGCATTTTTTTTCATATGCATGAGAATTTTTAGCACTATAGAGTCCAGCTTGCCTGACAATAAGTTTTGAAAAAAATAGGTTTTGAAAGAAAAAATAACCATGCAAATGTCTGTATGGGAGATTCAAGAGGTTTTTTATTTTGCAGTAAGTTTTTGCTGCAGAAGTCAATAGACACAGGATGGTGAGCGCTGTGAGGCATCCATCTCTTGCCCAGCGTGGGACAAATAGGCAAGCCACAGAACGCATAATATTTGCACAGGACCTCCAATGTTTGCTGTGTGCTTTCTAGGGGAAAAGAATAATTAATAGCCAATTTCTGGACCCAAGAGCTGGTGCATGGGGGTGCCCTGAACAGGAAATTTTGGCACTGCGGTTGCATTCGTACCCTGGTAAGGTGACGGATGGGCATCAGGACATAAAAAAGAGGAAAGTAGAGACGACCCTGGACCATGAGACCCCATTGCTTGCTCTGCCTCTTCTGGACTGAAGGCATCTTTCCATTTCTCCTCATGGCTAACCAAAGCCAAGTGGTTTGGATGGTCAGAGCCTTTATTGTTATAAAAGTCAGTATTTTACCCTGTCTGTTTGACAGCCCCGTAAAAGGAAGCCAGGGCAAATTTTCCAGCACCAGCTGTTGCTGGTGCAGTTGTGATGTGCGCTAATCTGCACCAGCACCAAAGGTCTCAGCTCCAGGG